ACAGTGAGACACATTCACTTTAACTCGGAATGTCAAAATTACCCAGCGAACCAGTGTGAATGTCCACTGTTAAGTGAGGTTGCTGGAATATTTCCACACTCCAAGTTCCAGTCCGGGTTTGAATTGTTAAACAATAATAATGTAAAAAGCCACTTTTGCTACTTTTTTTGAACATCATCTATTGCTTCATTTATTATTAACATTTATTATATATAACGCAACATCATTTTTTAAGCGTTTATGCAAGTTGCAAAAACGCGTGGTTTTTCTGCTTCGTTACGAGGTAAAAGAGGGAAGAAAAGTGAAAAATCGCATACCTAAGCAATGATCGGTGTGTGATTGATTGTTTCTGTGGATTCTTGGATGCGATAGCGTTTGGCATAAAAGTGTCTGGATGCCAAAGAAAATTTGTATAGCTTTCATGCAGCGCTAGCTCGGATTTGTTTTGGAAATCTCCCCTATCATATGCTAGTCGTTTATCGAACCAAGATTCTCGATAAAATAGCTCTAAGCTGTAGTCCTATAAATTCATTACTGTTATGAGCGCGTAAGTAAAGTATAATTCAGTTTACAAAAGCCAAGATATTTTGAGGGAAAGTAAAAAAAGTTATATACAACTGTTACAATTTGATAACAAAAGGAGCGACTGGTACATTAAGGGCTATACTTTTTTGCAGTTATTCTAGATGAGCGGTAGAAAAATTCATAAAAGAATTGGTGTTATATTCTGTATTACCTTGAACTGCTGTTATATTTTACGTTTCTTATACCAGGACCTCCTGGACAATCTGTGTGGGAATTCCATGTTACTAGGATGCTCCTAAAAGCACATCGCCTGTTCGGTGTATGTTCTTTTCAACTGCTGCCTGAGTGATCGCTTACTTTCTCGAGGATACGATTCACTAACCCACTACATGCTGCTGATAATCTTTAATCAGCAGTACTCGCCATCAAATTATCACTAAAAATGTCTCCATAAAAATTTTTCTACTTGGAGGCTAAGCCTTCAGACTGCATGATTTAAAAGTACTATTTCTAGGTGGTAATTGATTTTGACATACCATGTTCACTTCAGAGACAGCACGGATGTTGCTGATGACGATCGAAATATGGATATCAACGGCTTCTGAAAAATGCGATTCCGACATTAAAATTTATTAAAATTTGAGTTATCTCTATGTAGAACTTCGACTCCGTCAACATGTTGCCATGAAGCCAGTCTGGGCCTGTCTACGTTTTGTAACCCCAATCTCCTACGCACAAATGTCTAAACCTCACGGTGACTAGATTTCTCGCAAACAGAGCTCCTTTTCGAAAATATGACGCAACGTGCTAAACCTTTGCACCTCCGACCCCTGTACTCTGTGCACATACTGAAGTTTTTATATTCTGTGTGAATGCCACTCCTATACATATTTTGTTCTTTTGGCTGCTTCATCCTGTGCAACACAGTTTTGTTTAACAATTACCGACTTTTCGCGGGAATTCGACGACAAGATTGGCAATGCTTAACATTCTATCTACTAATATGCAGACTAAGCCGTTTCGTCAAAATTGTTTCAATCAAAATTTTGCTGAAACTGTTACCCGAGTCAAGCACTGCTAGGAAAAAGTGTTAAATTATAACTTGGCTCTAGTCAAACGTGAGAAGTTGAATTCCGAATTTTAGTAGGATTGCTATGACTCGTATTCGTGGGATAATTATTTAAACGCACAGTCTTTCTGAATATTGTAAGAAAATATTCTTTACCTCCGTTATCGTTTTCCGGTAGTTGCCGGTGATCGTACTGAATGTTGCGCAAAAATTGTAGGAAATCTCTAGTTTCCCTAAAACATCAAACATTTTTTTTTTTTTGTTTTGCATTTTGGACTCATTGTGCATGAATTACACATTAAAAATAATTCTTTTCGTGCAAAAAGCAGGAATAATTGAGCGAGGTACCCTTGCTCAAAGATGCTCTCTTTCGATAATCTTCCAAATTCTGGCAGTAATCCAAATTGCTTCTCGAGCTCATTTTCTTCCAACTCCATCTCATCAACCAAATCACCGTCCGACAATGCATAGCTTTCTGAGGCACCTTTCATCATGAAAGCACCACGGAGCGCTTTCGCCTGAACAACACTCTTTGCACAGTAGTATTGAGCAAAGTTCGATGTGAAAAGGCTTATGAATAGATACTCCAGCAGCGGACCCGAGTTATTAAGCAACGAGCACATCGCGAATGGTGTGAACGTGTTACAGTATCCAGAAGACTCTGTTTAAGGCATTTTAGCAGCTATTATAATTGAATTTCTGTTTTCGCACAAGTCGAACGTGTCTTGACTCAGGTGAGGAAATTAGGTCGAATTTTTCTTAAACTAGTCATTTTTCTCGGACAAATTGTTGCGCTCTTCTATAGTTCTCAAACTGTAGAGTGAATTTAGCTGAATTAATAAAAAATTTCACTGTTACCATTTCGACGTAGGCAAACTGGGCTGTGAAGAATCCAGCAGCCAGCAGCTGCAGTAACATTGCTCCGAGCAGCGTTTATCTCAGAAAGCGCTCAAATATGTAGCGTATTTTTGGTTTCAGCGCTGTTTTAATCTAAAAAAGGCAGTTAAAAAAGCCAAAGCTAAATGTTTCGATAGGTCAGCGAATGCTTTAATCGAATTAGCACGCCACATCTTCCAAAAGTTGCTGAGATTTGTGAGGGATTCTGAAAGTGGAATTTGGAATATTTTGGATAAATATTTCGAAAAAAAAGTCGTAGCCAATGAAAAATTATTAATGGTAAATGATTCAAATGTAAAATATAACAATTAATAACATCATTCTGAGAACTATTGAGGTACACCTCGCTGCTTTTTGAAACTGCATTTTAAATCGGGGCAAGAAATTACAAAAATACCAAGCGCAAATTCAGATAGGAAAAAAGATTGGAGCTCAGTTTTAAAACACGCTACGCCGTGAAGGCGATCTGTGATTTGCTTATCAAGTTGTATAATTGTATAATTATTCGAAGTCATAAATCAAAACTCAAAAAAATGTGAAATGACTTTAGATCTTTGCCTTTGAAGATGCTCACAAAAATACCAAATCTGTAGCTTTTACCAGTATTGTAGTTAAAAAAATTAAAAAAATTTAGATCCTAATTAGGGCTCAGGATATTAATTCATCCTATTGCTAACTACAAGTTTTCAACCTTTTCTAAGATAAAAAAACATTGATTAGCTTCCTACTACTACCAGAAATGAAATGTGCGGTTGGACACATAGAGAGGTATGCTCTTAGGGGCACGTTCTCGTCTTAATGAGTTTTTGATGTGGAACTCACGACCCATCTTCTCTGATTCTATCTCCCGCTTACCGGTAGCATTTCTTTTTTTTTTACCTCTAAAACATAACTACATGAATCTTTACTGTACTGTCATCCACTAGGCGGACTAATCTCAGAATGAGTCGCGTCGCCTAAGCTTAGTTGTACAAAGTGCTGCACATTATCTTCTCAAAATATTTGGAGCTGCTAAATTTGTTCCCGCTCTGCGTCGACACCGCTAGTTTGGTATCACTCTCACACTATGACGAGGCGCGAAATTCGGATTGTTGGGAGGTTTATACCAGAACTCAACACAACTGTTGCAGTAATGTCAACTTCCATACGCTGGTTGCGCTACCGCTGACGAGAAACACTGGAAGGCACATATGAGGGTGAGGTATTAATGGGCTCAAAACCTCGTCAAAGTAGGTATTAACGGGCTCAAAACCAGCTCCCAAGTAAGCGTGGTATCCACACATGGGCCCGCCAAAATTTTTTTCGGGTAAGTTGATAACTCGAGAACCCGAAAAGCTAGAAGACTGTAATATTAAGAGGATGTTGCCCATCTACGTTATTCTCAACAAGCTCAAACCCAGCCCTCGGTCATGCGTGGTACTTACGCACTAAGTTTTTTCAGGTAAGTTGCTAACTCGTGGACCTGAAAGCTAAAAGACTGTAGTTTTAAGAGGATGTTCCCCGTCCAAGCAAGTCCCAACGAGCTCAGACCCCGACATCGAGTACGCGTGACACCCGCGTGAGGGCCCGTGAAAGTTTTTTCCAGTAAGTTGCTAACTCAGGAGTCAGGAAAGCTAGAAAGCTGAACAGTTCTAGCGGCCAATCTTAATTTGTTTACCTATAAGTATTTGCCAAAAAAACCGATGCCGGTAGCGAAAAAAATTGCGGGGAACTATGCAAAAAATGCATATTTGCATGGGCAGCTCGTGCGTTGGCCAATTATTTGATACTAATATAACACTGCTAATACTAATACTAATATAATACTGCTAATATACTACTACAATTCTGACATAATAAGGCTATTTATCATAAAATAGGCTCTTTCCAATAATTATATTTTATTAACTTATTATCTCACCTATCTATTAGCACTCAAAACGAAAAATCACGGCACCTGCTGGAACATTCTGCCTAGCCAGAAATATCCATGTAGCAGCAGTGAAAGAGTAATTTGCGATGGGTCAGCACTCAAAAACACTTATCGTGTAAATGGCTTGTCCCTCTCTTTTCGGAATGTATGGAAGCGAAATCAAATCATCAAATTTATGGGAACGTGAAAACTGCATGTTTTTATCAAAAAAATGTCTAATGCTTAAGCCTTTGCTAACGCAAACAGAAGAGACAAATTTCGCTAAAAAGATCTACTGAAGCACTGGAGAGGACAACATTTTTGAGCATGGATGCTGGATAGATGGAGAGTTGAGTTTGACCGAAATGAGAGTAGGCTCTGTGCGAAGCGACGATGAAGCGCCCTTCATCTGCTGATGAAGATAAAGAATCTCGGAGGGCCATGCCTTTCCTGTCCCACGTCACTGAATGTATTGAAAATAGCATCAGTGCTTTTATGTTTCATATTTTGCAAATAAAACCATATTATGAGAAGTTCATATCGGTCTTTGTGTCCTGTTAAGATCAGACTGACCGAACAACCGAGGCCAGGCTATAATTTGGCCAAATATAAGAGACCTGCGGCCTTTAAACAAAAAAGACTAGATTTTTGCCAGGCTTAACGAGCTACTTAAATATTGTTTTTCTATCGGTCCAAAGCCCTTGGAAATACCAGCTAGTCGCATGCCGAGTGGATTTTGCTGCTACCTCCTACGGAAGTACGAATGGGCTGCTGTTATTCCTTTCGTTTAAGCCCGTTTAGCCCAATACTTTGTACAAGGTATATGTGTACCCCGGAAAAACCTGGGTGGCAGTTAAAGGCGACAGGTGCCACAGCTTCTTAGCCCAGGGCTACTTACAACACAGGCTTCATGTTAGCATTGCTGTTGTGTGATATTTACTTATCATGTAGAGGCAAAAAAATTTTTCTGGCTCTAAGTAATGTCAGTGTACTTTGCATCTTCAGCAGCACCAGCTCTGTAAAAGTTCAAAAGTCAAAATGATGATGGTAAGTCGAGAGTCACCAAGTCGAGTATTATAAATAACACTTATTCCCTCACCGGAACTGTACACAAGAAAGGATCAATTCTAGAAAAATTAAAAAATAAGCTAGAAGGAAAAAATCTAAAAAAAAAAAAAAATTGGGACATAGGATGCAGTTCGAGAACTGGCAAATGGAAAGTCGTGGAATGTAAATTTGTAAATGTATTGTCTTGAAAGTTGCGACTTCCAGGTTTGCAAAGTGAAGGCCTTATTTTAAGGCTGAGAAAATAAATTAGAATTCTCTGTGGGAAAAGGGCGGGTGGAACATGTAGGTTGTTAAAGAAGTCACTCTGTAGGTATTTAGCAATTGACCACAGCACAAAGTGACCTCAACATTTGTCCCCCTGTTCACGTGGGACCACTGTAGTGCTTCAAATTCAGCCCCCAGCTATGCACTGTACTCAAGTGAGGGCATATGAAATTTTCTGCGGCAAAATTACTAACTTGGGAACCAGAAAAGCTAGAAAGCTGAAATTTTAGGGGGATATGAAGATGAGTAGTGCGCACGAACAGTATCTGTGAAGTGCATGGCTGTTTGTACAATAAAATGTGAAATTTATTTCCGTGAGT